GCCATTACAGCTGAAATATATTAGTTTTTAACACTAAAAATTACATTTTTTGTTAATATCGGACAAAGAGAGTTACTAACAAACTCTGTATTGTACTTTAGCAGTTTAAAAAAATGTAACTTCACTTAAGACAATATGGCTCATTGCGGTGTTATGATTAAGTTTATTAAATTAAAACAAATAGATACATAGATATGGATGGCTTCTCTAAGATTAGTTAGTGAAAGGAGATAGCATTGTGAAATGTACCAATATTTGAAACCCAAATGTACTATTCTAAGAAACTTACTATAACTTTCTTATAAGAAAAGCTTTGATATTAACTGGCTTTCATTTCATTATCTGGCTATCACTGAAAGATGAGATTAACATTCAGAAAGAAGTGATGTTATCCTAAAACAAATACTAGCAGTGCATATAATGTTGACATTTTAAACACAATGTCCTCAAAAGAAAAAGTGTATTGAGTCTGACGTACCTGTGCCAAAGCCCAGCCTGATATCAACATCCTCCAGTGGGGAACGTGTGTCCTCCACAAACTCCAGCGGAGACACCTCGCTCCACATCCTGAAGGCCAGTCTGAAGATGTACCTCTGCTCTTCGATGGACAGCTGGCTGCTGTAGCCTTCTCCTATCAGCCTCCATTTTAACACCCTCTTAGAGAAGGCCATGTATCCTGTTTGACTCAAATCTCTTTTGTGCCTGCTTCTGGATACCAGAGTGGCGAGGTGACGTTTCCTGCGTTGTACTGCTGGGCTCTGATGGCCGCTGTTATTGAACATTTGACTGTCTACATAATTTGAGCTGTTTAGAGATGTGCTATTTAAAATTGGATCAAATGATGTGAAATTCAAGCTGGTGTCATTGGAAATTCCTGTGAGAATACTTTCTGTGTCATTAGCATTGAATATGTCATCTTCGAAGGAGTTGGCAGTGCCATAAGAAGAGTTACTGATTGTGTTGTTACTGTCAGTCTCATTTAAAGTGTTATTGGAACTGTTTTCAGTATCTAAAGCCCTACTGTTCTCAGGTGCTATAGGCGCGTCCAGGTCAATCTCTTTGTCAGGGACTCCACACCTCGGTTTGTTCATCGCCACCTTGGTTGCTGCATCAAACACGCCTGTGGCAGGCAGACCGGAAACCCTCTGAAACTCTTTAAGTGCTGAAATAAACGCTAGGCTTTTGGTTAGACTATTGTGGTCGTCGTAATCGCCGTCCTGAAGAGCATCCCTTGAGTGATGCACTGAGGTTCCTTCCTGGATCATATCTTGAAGGTTATCCAGAAAGTCATCGTTAAAAGAGACATCTGAATCTTCAAACTGTATCTCCTCCCAGTTCACCGGCTTAATGAATCCATATCTAGAGAGAAATAACTAGAACAAGATATGGGTACATCAGATGACTCCTATAATCAATCATGTCTAATCTAATAAATGCTGGAGTACCAAAATCAGAGGAATATAATAATAGTAGGATATTTACCTCTGCTGTGAACTTGTCGGTTATGACCTCAGCGTGGTGAGAAGTAAGGGTCTCTATATCAGAATGATCCCGATTATGGAAAAGTTTCTCCGCATCAGCTGAGCTAATGCTCATCCAAAGAGGCAAAATCATCAGCTGGATAAAAGTCAGCATCGTGGTGTTGGCTTACTCATGTAACTGTCTACAAGTAAGTTTGAAGCCATAGTGCTTTATAGGCACATCCTGAGTTTCTCCACACCCATCACAAGGTGTGACTCTCTAGAGGTGTCCCACTTTCCTCAGCTTTGTGTGAAAGGTAAACCTGTGTTTACTGTCTCAAATAGCTCAATATGACTGAATGGAGTGGATGTGTTATACATGCTCCATTGGTTTTAAATGGGCTTCTGTTGATGTGTGGAGAGAGGTTTAAATCTTTACTTTCATGTGGACAATAACAGTTTAGGAACGCCACTCTGCCAACACCTGTTTCGAATAGGACACACACACAGATACACACAACACTGGATTGTTTTACAATGAATAACCACTAAACAAACCTTCCATGGCATCACACTGATCAAAGTTTATTCCCAAACACAAACTCTACATTGCCTTGCTTTAGCTTAACATAAAAACACATAAATATTATAATTACATTATCTTACATTTTGTATGGCACAAAAAGCGTATTTTCTCTAGTGCAATTTACCTGATATACATTAAATCTTGGTAAAAGTAAAACAGACAAATAACAATAAATATAAATAATGCAGTATCCAGAGAGAAGATAAAGAGGATGGATTTAAGTGCTGCTGCTGGCCTGTGGTTTGTCACTGTAGCGATTTGGCTATTGCTGCTGCCAGGTGTTCAGCTGCTGGCTGTTCTGCAGTACAGCTGACACACAGGCCTTCTGCTATCATGGCGTCTTGGGTGGTAGGTCCAATGGCTGCAAACTGGAAAAAATAAGTTGAAATGACTGTCAGAGGCACTGAAGATCTATAAAAACACTACAGATTAATGCAATAGTTGATGTGCATAATGAGGAAGCTGCACCTTTATTTCAGGCAGCTGTTCACCTGACAGCCGCTGTACAACTTCCAGGCAAAACTTCACTCCCGATGGACTGAAGAAAGCGATGCTTGCTGGAGTGCCCTGTAAAAGCAGAATATAAACATTTGCTACATTTAAAACTTTTTTTATTTTAATTGCAGAAGGAGGAGGGGTTTACCTGCTCCGTGAAATAGTTCTTTAGATTTTTCTCCAGATCTGGATGTTCAGCTGTTTGATAGACAGTCAGCGTCTCTAGGGGCACGCCTGGAAACAAAAGAAACCGATCCCCACAGTGATAAAGGTAGCACAATTATTATTTTATAATTGGTGAAGCCCCAATGGGACTTCTATCACCTTGAATCTTGCACTTGGGGCTTACCATTTTCCCTTAAAGCCGTGGGCAACACTTCTCTTTTAATCGAGCCACAGGGGAAGAAAAGTGGTGGAATATTTCTGTCCTCTCCTATGATGAGAATCAGGTATAAGGTTATATGAGTTATCGGAACAATTGTGTATTTCCTATTGAAATGAACTGTATCGAATAAGGGAGTATAAAGTAATGTGTTTACGTTCAATGATAAGACGTGATAGGACATCTGCTGTCCCTGTGTCCTCGCCCAAAGGGTTCAGACCCAGATTCCGTACTGTGTAGCAAAAAAAGGATTAGAATTATATTTTAGGATATGGACTGTTGATATCAGCAATACATCAGTAAAATGTTTTATTGTTATTTAAGTTAATTTCTCAACTCTGACAACAAAGAGATGAAGTGTCACTAAAGAAACAAGGTAAAGCAAACATCAGGAAAGTTCTACACCTTGCAGCAAACTGTCACTTGTGTACAACCTATTTCCAAATGACTGAAGGTAGTAACATCACTTCACACAGCTCTGTCAAAACCAGGTGCTTCGCCACACTTTGCTGGAAACACCATTCACTTAGCAAGGGTTCAAAAAAACCAACAATTCCAAAGAAAATGTTTTATATACGACAACAATTTACCTAATGCAGCAGTTGCCCTTCCGACGACATATATGGACTTGCTGTTCCATTTCTCTTTCACAGAGCTGTTCCATTCTAGAGTTATAATAAAAACAATGATAACATTTAAAACAAAAAAAATGTAAATCTCATTTAGCAGTACAGAAACAAATTACGCAGAATTGATAGACGTTTAAGTAAACGCATGCTTTCAGGGGATCATTTGAATATGTTACAGGTTACAACATTTATATATATTTAAAGGAAGTTCCTTAATATGCTTTCACCTTCCCTTCTTTCTTCTGCTTCTAAGCACATCTTCACTGCCTCCACTGCTCTTGGACTGGTAAATATAAGACCTCCATGTTTTTCTGGTTGGAAAAGCTGACATCGGAAGATATATTGAACAACAGATACAAAACTGTATGTTTTATACACAAATAAAACCCATTTTAATCCAATACTGTGACATCAGAATTTACCTTATCCGACAAGGTATTTAATGAGACAAACTTAAAAGACAGCACAGGAATTAGGGTTGCTTTATGTCCATGTGACGCCAGCTCCTGTGAAATCAAAATAGGGAAGTCCTGTTCAAATGTGCATTAAAATGCAGAGGAGTAGCCTACTGTCACTGCTGCTAAAAATACTTAATATGAATGCAGTCATAGTTAGAAACATGTGCATCTACCTGAATGTAAGGATCAGGTCCAGACTCTCCAGCTCTTGGCTCTTTCAGGAGCAGCACCTGCATCTTGACGAAGACCCAAAAACGCTAAATCAAACAAATAAATTGGGAGGAATGCAAGAGAACAAAACCAGGTTAAAAATGAATTCAGCCAAAGTCAGAACCTCAAGATTGCCACAACACTGAGAACAGAGGGTGTGAAGTCACAGCAAGCTAAGCTACACCCCAAAACGGTCATATGCAACCTGCTGATAACAGAAATGTTTAGTCACGATTAATGGACTGTGTGCATGAGGATCAAACTAATGCAAAAGTGCCACACTTCCATCGTTACATGCATTTAACGGTAGTAACTATGTAGCATTAGCCAAATCGTGTGTTATTGTTTACATTAGCAAGACAGAATGACAGTTTAACTAGGTATTAACCGTTTCCTAAATGTAACCCAGCTGCTGATAAGTGGCTAAATATCTTGCTTTTGAGGTGCATTTATATGAATTACAACGTTTATAGTATAAACTGCAACATATTACCTTGAGTTGTCCCCACAGCTGAGCATTACAAGAGTCAGGCACTTTCAAGAAGGGGAGAAATAACATTCAATATCTGACTAACCTGCCATAAAAATAAAGTAAATTGAGAAAAAATATTATTTAGAACCATACAAATCAAATATTATCAACCAAACGCTTAATAGCACTTCCTATGTGTAACGGAAACAGTAGTTTAGGCACCCTTTAAATAACTAATATCCCCTTTTTATATAGTGGTTTATTCCATTTCCGCAACAAGCTCACATTTCGGCTCCGACGTGCTACGTCAAACGGCAAGTCGTGCAAATATGGAGCCATGATGGCGGCTTGGGGCATTCAGTTTCCTGCTTATAATGCACTTTAACCTTTTCCCCGCCCACTTAGTTGACACGCGTTCTCTGTTTTGCAAGCATGGCTTCTTCAGCTAAGAGGAGAGCAGTAGGTTTGAGTGAAAATCACGGGGAAACTGAAAACAGCTCCGATGAAAATTCAGAGGAGGCAGGTGATTCCAGGGATGAAGACAGCGAGGCATCAGAGGAGGAGATTAACGAGGTAAAACAACAACCACGTCTTTAAAAAGCCGTGATGTGCACGGCCTTGCTAGCCAGCGAGTTAGCTACAAGCTAACTCAGCTGTTAGCACATGTTAACACAGTGAGCCACTTTAGCTATATGTGTTATTGTTTTCAGGCAGGATTAAACGTGTAACATTAGTTCGCTATTTAAACGGGAATTGTATACTTTAGTAGCTTATTATCGTTAGTTTGAAAATGTTCAATACAAAGTGCACGACAAAAACCTGTGTGGAATTAAATAAATGTTATTCATTCATTCGAAAGTACCTGAAACAACTACTCGGAAAAACGTAACAAAAGTTAATGAAGTGACTACTTCAGTCAGGTTAGGTTGTGCTAACTACTCTGTGTTTTGTTTATGTTTCGCTTGCAGGAGGTCATGGTGGACTTCGAAGCTCACAACATTACAGCGAACGACTTCGACGGCGTTAAGAAACTCCTTCAACAGGTTTGAGAAAACACTTCTGTTTTGCATCTAAATCTTAAAGTTAATATGTTGTGTTATATTTTAGCATGGGCTCACGTGTATTTTGTTTGGATATAGCTGTTCCTGAAGGCTCATGTAAATACATCAGAGATGACAGACCTCATCATTCAACAGAATCATGTTGGAAGTGTCATCAAGGTGAGTTGCTCCATAGTTACAAGTCAAATCAGATCTACCAGGGGACTATTCTGGACTTTTAGCCCTAACATGTATTCACTCGTCCTTTTCCTTTTCTTCAGCAAGCTGAGGTGCCAGAAGACAGCGATGATGAAGACTCAGATCAAGTGTTTGGCTTCATCAGTATGCTCAACCTTACAGAGAGAAAGGTAACATCCCTGGGACTAACCTTACAGAATAATTGGCTTTCTGGCGCTCTGATTTTGTAGGAATTTAACATGTTTCTTCATTGGCAGGATGTGCAATGTGTGGAGGAGGTGAAGGAACTGATCGTGGATCAGTGTGAGAAGAGCTCTACCCCCAGCATGACAGAAGAGATCGAGCTGATCCTCAATGACCCCAGCAAGCCTGTGGGGTTACTGCTGAGCGAGCGCTTCATCAACGTGCCCCCCCAGATCGCACTGCCACTACACAAACAGCTCCAGTGAGTTCTGCTCGGTCCTAAATGACCTGATGGTGCTTTGTAAAGGAACAAAAATTACACTTTTAAGATGTGTTAGTTATATGAATGCATGTAAAACTTAGAATAGAGTATATGAAGGGTAGAACAATCTTACTTTTTTTTCCAAAACTAAATCAGTCTTTTGAAAAAAGTAAACTCAAGTAGAAGTACAGATACTAGTGTTTAAAAAATACTCAGGTAAGTAGAAGTTCTGACTAAACCTCTTTACTCAAGTAAAAGTAAAGAAGTATGGGCTTCGAAACGTACTTAATTAAAAAGTACCCATAACTACCATCTGTTTTAAAGAGTAACTGACCTCACTTTATATAAATAGAACAATAATGACATTGTTAGCTAATGAATGTTTCCATGCTGAACAACGGCAACATGACAAAGTTCTCATTGGTCCCTCTTCTTTAGAGAAGACCAGGAAATGATGGATACACGGATCGTGTTCAAATCAATAGGCACACAATGACTATAAATAATAACGATCACGCCACCAAACGCAGATTAAATCTAAAGTAACCAGCCTGTTTCAAAAATGTAAGAAGTAGAAAGTACAGGTATTAGTGTTAAAAATGTAAGGAGTGGAGTAAAGTACTGATACTACTTAAGTACAGTAACAAAGTATTTGTACTCCACTACTTTCCACCTCTGAACTAAACTAATATATTTGTTCTGCTTCCAGGGAAGAACTAGCTGAAGCTCAGAGGACGAATATGCCCAGTGGGAAGTGTCACTATTGTCTGATGATCAGCAAGACCTGCAAAGAAGTGAGCAAGAGTGTCCCAGCCAGAGGAGCAGCTCCCAAAGATGAATACTTGTTCGTCAATGCAGAGGAGGAATTCTTCTTTGAGGTAATGCATGAGATGCTCTCAAAATGTTTTATGATATGACATGCAGTATCTGGATAACACTTCAATTGAATCTTTTTTTGTTGTACAATGAGCTAAAACTATGTATTTTGACTTTCAAGTCTCCAGAGATGTTGGATTTAAATAATGACTTGTATTGTCCTTACAGCAAGCTATCTTACAGTTCCACTACTCGGTCCAGGAAGAGACAGACTCGTGTTTGAGCGGCAGGTGGTCGTTCGATGATGTTCCCATGAAACCGTTCAGGACGGTGATGCTGATCCCAGCCGACAGAATGCCTGCTATCATGGCAAAACTCAAAGAATACCTAACTGTGTGAACCTTACAATAAACTAAAACCCCTTTTCATACTCATGGAAACGGTTGTACTAGTATACCCTTGTAACAGAAAATGTTTTGTAATGTCAGCTACAATAGTGCATGTCACATTTTTATGTTTAACATACCTTGCTTATACTGCAGCAGAGCACCCAATATATCATGTGAATATGAATAGAAATGCAACAAGTCATGTCTTTTAGACTTGTTTATATGAACCAAGATAAATGTGATGTGTGATGCTCAACACAATAGCGAATATGTGTGAGCTTGAAGTCAAATGAGATGTCACTTAGTCAAATTACTGAATGGTTAATTCTACATTGATAACACACCTACATATATATCCCTTAACATAACCCGGTAAATGATTTTCAAAAATTGGATCTTGATTGTTGACAAAGGAAAATTATGCATTGTTAATTTGTAAAACGGCAGCAAAATCCTAAATTTGAGTTTACAGTGATTTTGTATCCCAGTATATCGTAGCTACTGTTTATTAATAAATCCGTTGTAGATCAACATGCCTTGACAATCATGTGTTTTCTTAAACTGGCAGCATGTCAACTCGTACATCATGATTCAGTTTCAAAACCAGACACCTATGAGAGACAGCTTTGCATTAAAAAAAAGGGAAAATGAGGTGAGACGGGAGAATTCAATTACAGAATAGACAGCTGCCCATAACAGCAGTCAGGAAAAAGGGATTTACTGGCACAATAAGACGAAAACAACCTTATTGGATAATGAACAGGTTCATGATTAACATTACTTTGCAACATGCTCTCATGACGAGAACCAAACTTATTTGCTCGCCATGTCTAACCATCAACAACCTTTAGGCAAAGTAATAACTTATTACAGTCAATGGTTTGTATCGACAAAAATATTTTACATTTGGTGACAGGATTACAGTCCATATTTTCACATTTTTTGATTTCAGATCATTGAATCACACATCTGTCATAAGTCTGCGATCCGATTCCACAGCCACTGTCGTCCTGGTTGCTCACTGGGATGTCTTTTTGTTTCTCTTCACATTTTCTGGATGCGTCTGGGTCCAACATGTCCTGCAGTATGTCCTTGCTTTCACTAGGGGGCAGGTTGTAGAAGAAGTAGAGGGGTGCCATTTGAATGTACCTAAAATGAATAGAGTGTTACTTTTTATATAAAAAAAACAATGAGATTTTAAGAGGATTAAAAAAGATTGAAAATGTGACCAAATGGCTCAGTTTGACAGTAATAACAAAAACAATCACAACATGTTTGTCTCCCCAGTGTGGTGCGTGATAACATAATCCAGTAGAAATCAATTATAATCTGCTTGCACGACATATCTTTTAGTGAGCTAAAAAAAAGGGATTGGCTTACACTTGAGGGGAAATTTCACACACGGTTCTCATGCAGTTGTTCTCCGACAGGGTGTACTCGTGGAAAACGACCCACTCTGGCAGCCCCTGCTTGTGCGACTGAGCCCCGTAGCAGGACAGCGGGTGCACCTGAGCCATGTGCTTGTGTGTCAGAATGAAGTAGTTCCCTGATCCGTCCACGTCCCGAGCGATCTACAAAAAAGGATGCAGCAATCTTAAATACTGGTGAATCACTGGAGGTGAATTCCTTAATATTGATTTTCTAAAATACCTGCATGAAGAACCCGGCCATCAGAGCTCTTTTGATGTTGTGTGTGTTGCTCTTGGTTCCAAAGCAGGGCTCAGAGATGGGAAGCTCGATCCTGTTCAGAGTGTCAGTCAACTCTGATCTAGTGGCCTCTGCTGTCTTCAGGGCGGAATGATCCAGGAAGTAATCCTGGCACCACTTTTGAGAAGTAAAGTCTGGGGAAAAAAATGCATCACATACAATAACACTGTTTTAGTCAAGCCATAAAAACAAGGCCCACAGTGGAACCTACTGATTCATCAGATCAGACTTCACCTTAGAGCAGGGGTGTAAAACTCAATTTCATTGCAGGCCACATTCACATTATGGTTGCACTCAAAGGGCCGGTTATAACTTTAAGACTATATAAAAATACATATATAAATAGGTAATATATATAATACAATTTATTATATTACATTATTGGCCCTGCATTGGATTATTATCGGATAGGGTAATAACTTCATAATTAACTACATCTGAAAGCAGAAGTCTAGGGCAAATAATTGCAAGTCTCTTCAGTGAGAATGTCACAAAATGAGTTAAAAAGAAAAGTCAAATTTGAGATGCATTGTGGGACATGTAGTTTATGGGCAACGTGCTTCTGTAAAGTAGCATGCAACCGTACAATAAACATATCATATTTTTGCAAGCTCTTGTGGGGCCACATAAAATGAAGTCGCGGACCAGATTTGGCCCCCGGGCCTTGAGTTTGACACCCCTGCCTTAGAGCATAAAATAACTTATTTGGCACACTTGATGAAGTTGGCATACTTGCACAATCCTTGCTATTCCTTTTGGTAAGAAATGCAAGCACTTTCAAATTGCCTCAGTGTATACATTGTCCTATATGCTAACTTGTATTCGCATGACATCACAAGGATCTATTTATCAAACATTCTTTTTTTGTTGGCAACAATGAAGGAAAGATTCAGAAACACTGCAGTGAGGATGCGTCAGTTTAAGAGAGTTGCAAGCATGTTTTAAAATTGGACTGTATTTGCTGAGAGTGGATTGGTTCTGCCTCTCACATTGTTCTCTCTGGCTTTGTTTGAAGGCATTGTAGATGTTTATGAGGGTGAAGTGATCACCCTCAGGGTGCTGGAACTTTCTGTGACACTGGGCTGCTTCGTGGGTCATGCCAGTAGGGGGCTCCATGAAGCAGCTTGGCGCTAGAAGACAAGGAAACAACGAGGTCACCATCACAGAGACACTTAGCAAAGAGCATCTGTTTCACTGTATGAAAACTGCAGCTACATCTGCAAATGAGATACTACAATAATGTCCAGATGCTGAATCCACACATCAATTATAGTCTTCACTTATTGGGAACAAATCTTATTTAAAATTGGAAAGTTGGATCACATGGCACTTACCTGACAGCATCGCTGTGATGGTTAACATCTCGCTCACACAGTCAAACTCACAGGATGCCAGCAGCGCTTTGGCCATCTGAGGGTCCAGAGGGATTTCAGACATTATAATGCCGATCTCAGATAAATTGCCATCATCATCTAGAGCTGCTAGATAATCCAAATCCTCCAACGCCTGCATGAGACCCTCAGGATCTGCAACAGGGGACCAGACAGTTTGAGTGTGATACATTAGTTGAATAAATCCAAAAAGTGCAAAATTGTAAGTGTTACAAAATTGTCTTAACTCTTTTTCTTTCATGTTCGGTGTATGGAACTGTTGGTTTTTAGGGCAACATCACTAATACTTCAAAGGAGTAGTTAAAATATAAAATAATAAGTATAGGAATAGGAAGTTGGGATGGATGCAGCATCATTTTGTTTTCACCAGTCTTTTCTAACGAGTAATATCTATGCATGCTATCTTTAAAAACAGACAGACTCCATTCACAAATACCATTTTTTTACATCACAGAACAAGCTAGTTGGTGGTCCACTGCTGCTTAGATCAGTTCGTTTTTTTGTGTAATTGTGAGACTTTGATGGATCCAAACTAGTCACACAATAACACTAACTAACAAATCGAAGCCACAGTAGATTAGCAACTTCAATGTTCTGCAGGTATATTCTACTTCAGTTCCTCTTGCAATAAATGTTTTTGACTGTATACATTTTCTAAATACAACATACACATGAACAAATTCAGATTTATTTTAGGTGGCTATAATAGGGTTTACTACTGCTCCATCCTCTTACTTTTGCCTTTTTCTCCTAACTGGGGGTGGGACGGCGGATAACCTCATACGGCCCCGCTTGAACCATCCTGTACTGCCCCTTTACAGCCACTGTAAACCATTTCACCTAACCTTTCTACACCCACTCACTTATCACAAACAATAACGTTGCTCTTATCACAAACAATAACTTCACTTAGTGGCTTTAAGCTTTCAAAATCCCATATATCTCTTAGAAAAGACACCAGTAATATATGCATATGAGGGAAAGTAACTTCTGTGCCACATTGTACAAGACTTTGGAAATACTACAGTATATTTGGCTTGTTCTTCCTGTTCATTGTACTCGTGTCTTGCTGCTAACGAGACATGCTTTATGATCGTTAATGAGCTGGCCTCTCCCTGCCTGTTCTGTTCGTGTTAGGGCTGGTTAGAGCGCAGACAATAGTTAGTAGCAGGGTACTGTCAGCTCAGCTCAATCATGGCTGACCAGGCCCAAACATTCATTTGTGCTTCCACTAGCCAAAAAATGACCCCTCCCTCATACACCTCTCTGGCTGTGTTTTAGGCTGGGAGAGAGATGCTGTCTGTGGGAACCAGTAGGCAGAGAATACAAATGCTTGTTCACTGATGTGTGCTAGCAGGCTATGTCACCTGGTCTGTCGATGAAATCACACTGTCCAAGGCCGGCGATCTCCATCCTTTTTAGGAACAGGACTGTCGGTGAGATGTTGGACTCCAAAATCTGTGGGGCTTTCTCTGCAGGAAGCGCGCTGTCTTCTTGATATAGGCAGAAACATTTACCTAGGGAACACATGGAACTTAGTGCAATAAAGACATTTAGATTTTATTTAAGTTAATTTATTGAACTCTGATGTTGCTCCTTCAGCTTTATTAAGATAAGAAGTACTTTATTGATCTCAATTTGGGAAATGTTTTGCATTGCAGCAGCATAAAAAGACAAGGCATTGTACATTAGAGGAATTCAAAGACTAGAAATAAAAAATCCAAAATGTAAAAAATGTCTCAAAAAGAAATTAAATAGCATTAAAACAATTTTTTTTTAAATTATTAAATATTAAATAGAATATGTAAAATGTACGGTGTGATTTGAAGTCCAGTTATCAAGAGAAGCTATGGAGCAGAGAGTTCTCTGCCAACCAGAGGTGATCATAGTCAAGATTTCAGATTTCAGATTATCACTTGGAAACATCAGAAAGAAACTAATGTTGACCTTTTAAAATTACCTGTTGGTCCAGACAGCTGCTTGCGTATGTCTGCCTGACATTGACTGATGGGTTGCAGGACCTCTGAGTTAGCTCTTATTCTTGGATTATACACCTGTAAAATGTCAAACCACATTAAACATCAGCATACATATACTGTACAGGTCATTTAAGGTTGATAAGTTTTGTTAGGAAAACACATACCATCTTTTTCTGGACTCCTGTGTCAATGACAAAGTTGACAGACTCTGCGGCCCACCACATATCCTCCCCCTGTGTGGTAGAGAGGAAGACCCTCCTGGACTTCTTGGAGTCCGGTTGGTCAGAGAGGGCAGTAGGTAGCCCAACCCGGCCCGGGCACAGGACCACAGGCACCATCCGGCCCAGCTCCGCCCCCAGCCTGGTGCCCTCTCTCCGCAGGATGCTTTGGGCACAGTTAACCTCCTGCAGACGAAAGTAAATTCCTTAACCCATAAGAACCCAGACCCATTTCTACTTTTGGGAAAATGATCATTTAGACTAAATAGACCACATTTCTGACAAGTAACCCCCCCCATAGTGTCAGAGATCTGAAAAGTTACATATATGTCACATTGGGCGTTCATGGTAAAGTAATTCGTATTAATAAGAATTTGGTTTAAATTTCTTTGAATTGAGGAATATAGAATATATTAACTAAATATCATTGAATCAGCAAAATTAACTGAGCAGATCATATTTCTAATTGTTACATACTGAATACGTCACTCTAGATTTTCTGAGAAATTGTAAGGTTAATGTCCCGATGTGAAATTAATGTCACAGCGATATTTATCCTATTTGTTTCACATCACTTTGATCAAGAAATGTTTTCACAACAGGTTATATGTAAAGGACATGTTATGTAAGCATTATAGTTCTTAAATGGCTGGAATCCTTTAGCAACAAAAAACAAGCTTTTGAAATGGTGGCTAGTTCTGTCACATGTACCAACATGTTGTTATGGGAACACAAAATCACATGACCTGGCCCATGATGATCCACCAGACTGTTCAGTGTCACTTAGGGACTTCATGAGATAAAATAAAGGGTTTTTAATGGGCCGATCTCAGCTTTGGTCCAGGTAAACCACTACTAAAAAAACGCAACATTGTCTTACCTCAGCTGAGGCGAAAAACACAACAACATCTCCTTCCTCTTTGGTTCGATGGATCTCCAGCACCAGTCTCAGTGCTGGGAAGAAATAGTCTTTGTTGCCGCTGTGGCTGTGCACCGCCTCAGCAGGGGATGGGGGCTCCAGGCTGAGGAGGGGGACGCTGTGGTAGTGGCTCAGCAGCTTGTTGGTGAAGGGCGGGATGGCCAGCAGCACCACTCTGAGCTCAGGCCTCTGCAGCAGGATGTCCTTCAGGAGGCCCAGCAGTATGTCTGTGCTCACTGTCCTCTTGTGGGCCTGGTCGATGATGATGACCCCGTAGTGCTCCAGGAAGGGGTCCGACATCATCTCTCTCAGCAGCATGTCGTCCGTGCAGTACCTGAGAGAAGCCGTCAGAGGTGTTAAAGGAATACATGACGCAAAACCTTATGTGTATAAATGGCTCAACCTTGTTATTTCCACTGGCCTCAACATTGAACCAATTGATCGAAAAACAGGAACATTTCTTAAAGTAAACAGGGGCTAGAGTTACCAGAAGCATAATGATATCAAAACATCAGTTTACAAACTCATGCCGTACAATCAAAGTCTCATATATCCAGTTGTATGCTCACTATTCTAAGTGTTTTAAATTGGTTAAATAGTAAGGTTTTCTTTCAAGCACATGTGTTCGGCAAGTAGTGAGCATATGAGACTTTTGCTTTAGTTGTGTGAGAGTATGTAAACAGATGTTTTGATATATTTTCTCTGTTGCAGCGCCAAGTTATACATATGACCCGTTGTTTTGTGGGTTAAGTATTCCTTTAATATTATAAAGCAAGAAAATATGACTTTTGCTTAACAGCAGCGACAACGTTTGGCAGCTTCAAGATGACAACTACATTTTATCCATGTTTAGGATCAAAATGTCAAAGGAATGATTAGAGAGGGAGAGACAGTTTGTGGATGATATTAAACAGATTGCGAGCAGACCTCAGAACAGTATCAGAGGAGCAGCAGGTCTCCAGAGGGATGGTGTATCCCACCTCGTGGCCTATGTTGACGTCCATTTCATCTGCCACCCGTAAGGCCAGATCTACAGCCTGCTGTCTGCTGGTCTGAGTGCACACAACCATGCCATGCTGGTACTGGGCAGACAGACAGAACTCTGCACACCACTGAGGGATCTGAAAGAGAGTTATCACTAAATATTGTTTTCATCGTTCATTTTTGACAGTGCTTTAAAGTTCTCCATCTTACAGAACATGTTCTATTCACATAGTCACTTTTTCAAGGCAAGCCTGAGGTTAAGTTGCACCAACAGCTAAAACAAACAGTGACAGGAGGTATCCTACGGTGTTATCGCTCATAATACAAAATTGCTTTGGCAGCATGAGGCGGATCAGGGCTTAGCAGCAGGAGGTCCCCTAACACCCTGCTGGAGCCTTTGTGAAGCATGGCTGTCAGGCAGACTGACAGTGACACAACAGCATCTGTTGAGCTGGGCAGCCTTCACACGCTCACATAATGGTCCTCTTTGCATGTAAACAAACAGTTATGTGCATTTTAACAAAAATGCACATAACTGGAATCTTAAATATGTAAAAGTGAGAAGTTTGTGCTAGATACATATGGTTACGCTGGGCAGAAATGTCTTTTTAATTAAATCAAGGGGAGCAGACATGTCAAATTTGTTTTACACTGAATAGGCTGGACAAAAAAACAAGTAACGTCACACAAATTGGGTTATGCTGTGGTATTTGGGCATAGTCTGAAGGAAGTCAACATGTCCCTGAGAGGAGAAAAGTAAAAGGGAGAGCACTGTTCCTGAACTCTAAAATGCCCCCAAGGTCATAAAGAAGCTAGACAGTCTGATTCCATGTGACTAGGGAACAAATCTGCCTTTGAAAATAAATATAAGCTGAATGAATCTCTCTAAAAAAAAACACTTTTTAAACTCTCTTTCCCATAATGCATATCAATGTGCATATTCTTACCTGTGTACCCCTCCCAGTCTTTGCAGTCCCGGACACAATAACCAGTTGGTTGTTTACCAGAGCATCTTCAAACTCGCACCTGACCCTCCACACTGGCAGAGTCTTCCTCTCTTTCAGTAGTTTGTAGTAACGCGAGGAAAAGGGCAATCCATCGAACCGATTTAACTCCAGATCATCTCCAAAGCCAAATGAATCTTCGGCAGCACATTCCTCACTTTCAGGGCAAATGTTTGACTCCGCTGAATTATTTTCATCCGACATGACACATATGTATTTGTCAATTCGGACGAGAGCTGACAGAGGTTTTTCCTACCACTTAAACTATCGATCCATTTCGTTTTTTAAATGTGATTTTGATACTAAAAAAAAACGTCCACTCGATTCCTTACAATTGATGTTGTATTCCCAAACTTGCACAGATCAGGTGAATCTCTCAACTCGGCTTCTTAATTTCTAAAAGTATATTTATTGAAGCTGTTAAAGTTTGATGTTGCTCTGCTTGAGGCTGGAAGGAGGCGCAGTGCGCACCGGCGCGTAATTTCTCCCAGCGTGGCTGCACACGTGTTTTGATTTGCACAGGGCTTCATTATTCACAACAATCACGTGTGAATGACCCATGAAATTATGACTTTAATGTTCCCTTATAAGTTAACAAATCCAAAGATCCTTTAATATCATATCTCCCTTTACTCATTTTATGATTAAAATAATAACAAATGTGATGTTTCAGCTACTTAACATGCACGTATGTGCAATAAAAACAGAAGGATTTAAATCTTATGGAATATGAATATTCATAATCAATAAAAAGGTTCATCACCATGCAAGGCTTGCCCTCTCTTGATTAATACACAATACATACCTATTAAAAATAGCTTAATGTTAAGTAGGCTATCTCAAGCCATAAATATGACACACTATCTAACTTGTTAACGTTTTATTCACGTGTTGTGAATAAAACAGTTTATAATAAAAAATATATTTTGGTGGACTATTTTTTTTTACAAATCTGTGATTCTAAAACCACAAGTAGGCTACCCTTTTGAGCTACGATTTTATTAGAAAATACAAAACTATTACAAATACTTTTTCAACAACGCAGTACAACCATGAGTACAACACTAACCATCAGCAGGCTGCAGCTTGTCCACACGATGGAGCTGTTTAGTCCTTATCTGTCCAATGCCACACATGGTGAGTTTAATTGAGTTATCCTAAACTTTCTAAATATTGAATTAGATTTGTTCAGATACTTAACTAGCCTGACTGGCTCTACTCTCTGTAAACATATAGCTTACTTGTCTGATATTAAAGCATACAAATATATGTAAATGACTTAATTATGCTTTAAGCCTTCAGCCCTAAACAAAATTAAGGCTATGGCATCCCAGCTTGCTCCCGTTTTTTTACAAATATAATCTGTCTGCAGTTGCAACTTTTTTTTTGCAAAACAAGAGGATTTTGGGTCAGTTTTTACGAGATCATCATTCACAATATGTGTCCTTCCTTGCATGTGGAGCTTCTTAGATTTCTCATTAGCAATTCGATTGTTGTCCTGTACTGTTTACTGAACATCCTTTCACACACACTTGACTCCATCAGGTCAGCAGCTGAGAGTCCTGATGGGCAGCAGTGAACACACAATCTAATATCGATTGAAGCAGTATTTGGATCACTTACAAAGACCTCAGCAAATTGCTTTTGACTGTTTCAAATGAGCTTTGAATGTCAGTGCCAAATGGGAAAAAGCTTGTAACCTTTCTGAAAATAAGTATGTAAATATGCAGTAGATTTTTTACATGACCCACAAACATCAAACACAAAAACGTTCTCAAGTGCTTGAAAAACTGTTTTACTAATACTGCATGAGTGTTCAAATTACCATGACCAGATACTTAGTGTGTTTTCTTTACATAGAATGTATCAAACAATCATTTAAAAAAAAGCATTCTCCATGGAAATGTGTTCACCTGTAACACAACATACGAGAAACATATGGACTTAACATACATTCAGGTGACAGGACTCAAATACTGCCTACATGGACACATAGCATTGAAAAAGCAAAAGTAAACAAAGCACCGAGTTTAAAACTAGTGCATTATTAAACAAAATTGCAGTATCAAAAGTAAGAAAAGTTCAAAGTCTATTTCAGCCTACATATTTGTGAACAAGAGCTGTGCTTAAAGGAAAAGTTGCTCAGTGTGAATGTATACATGCAGCGCTGCAATTCAGTAAAATAATAATCCTGCAAAAACGATGAAAGACTGTTCAATCACTCAAAATACAGTTTATGTAGGATTGTATATCTGGCATGTAGATTGTTTTTAAAAAACACTTATCTTAATAGCCAAATTAAAAAAGTACAAAATATAGAAAAATGCCACATTACTTTAGATGAAACTTAACTTTAGTGGCAGAAAGAAATCAAGACATGTGTCCCCGTTACAATAAAATCATGATTTGTAATCCACACCTCAGTGCCTCCAAGACTCCTTCGTGGCCTCAGCTTTAAGAAAGTCCTTCACTCAGAGTCCTCGTGTAGACAGGCACACAGGGAGACTCTTAAAAAACACACATGACCTTAAGCAGGGCAATATTTCTGAGACGGTTACTCCCTCTGAGGAAAAAATGCTTCCTTGATCTCGCTCTTTTGGATCCGTGTTCAGTCCATACCTCAGTACCCAGATCCTTTGAGTGAGCCTCCTGGGTCTTGTTAAAAAAAAAGGAAATGGCGAAGTGACAGTTTCCCAAATCCACTTGTTACCTTTCCGAAATATAAATGCAGAGGAGACAGACTTGGAATACAGCTGTCTATTGAAAAAAAAATCAGCCCTTTCTCCCCAGAACACATTGCTGTAACATCGCTTTTTCTTTTTCTGTAGTTGTTTCAAGCCTTATCAAAACGGTGAGCATTGCTCTTCAAGAAAAGCCCATCTGTGTTTTAAATGAACTAGAAGTGTTTTTGTTCATCATTGCACAATACTCCTTTTCCAATTCTACCTGTAGTTTACAGATCAAAACCATCATGTAAAAGGTTCCCTTCATTTAAACACATTTAATAAAATCATCTCTGCAATCAGAATATCACATATTGGATTCGATTTCTGAGACCTTTCCGTGACTGCCCTTTAAAAAAAAGATGAAACTGATGCAAACGAGAAATTAAGAAAATGTGCTACCGTGTAGTAAAAGTGTCTGGCACAGTGCACTGCGTGGCAATAAATACACAATATAAATACTTTACATGTACCTGAGCTCAGACTCGTAGCACCATTCAGGGACAGAGCACCAAAAGGGACGCGGCAGACCTCCTGATTCAAAACTCAGAGAAGCCGCCATCTTTTTTTTTAAGGATTTCAGAGTTTTCATAGTGCAAATTCTTTAAGTGTCTTATCACAACATTGTCCCATCCCGGCGAAAGTCTCAGCTGCTGTATTTGACGTTGGCAATTATGCAAGGCTTTGGTAGTGTTGGAGGCTGCTTGGGACTGGGTCTAAAAGAAGGAGAAAAAAATGTGTTAAAATAATGTTTTAGTGAGTGTGGCAGCTTCAGCAGTGTGTTTACATATATCTTGTGACGGTTGGAGTTTATTTAGTATTTATTAGTCAATTTATTGAACATGTTAGAAACAAAACAAACAATAATAATAATTATAACAAAGAGAAGCAAAAAAAAGAAAAACGTTCAAGGTATACACATTTAAAAAGAATATTCTCAAATAGTTTCTGTCATGTTCAAAAGGGGCAAGAAGAAGTTTAGAAACCTTTCTGTTCCTACCCTCTCTAGCGTACATTCTTCATGAAAATCATAGTTTATGTCATCGTCATCCGTGATATTTAATTGTTTTAAACAAAAAATTTTGTACAAAAAAACAATAACAAAAAATAACTTTTACTATACAACGACAAGAAATAGCAAGCAGCACCACTTCACAGGTCCTGCTCATAACCATTCAGGATTTGGATTCCAAATAATAGTTTTAGTTTAGATAAAGTTGCACAGTATTTCAGCTCATCATTACAGTTATTCCACAGATGAACACCTTTTGTTTTGATGCAATGAAGGTTTAAAAAAAAAAAAAATGCAGTTTCCTCTTCCTGTGTATGTTTTCTCTCCATGTGAAAAGTCCCTGGACATTATGAGGTAATTGTTAATTTGCGACTTTAAACATAATTGGGATAGTTTTTAAAGTCAACCAGGTCTTGTAGTTTTAGTGTTTTTAGTTTGATAAATAATGTATTTGTTGGTAGTTTTATGTATAATTCGTATGGCTCTTTCACCTGTTGGGATGTGGGATAGGCCGCAAAGGTCTGGGTACACCAGGTGTTGGTGCGGGGCCACAAACAGCCGAGGCCCCTCGCATTACAGAGGGACCTCGCACCACACGAGCGCTCCTAGGATCGGCCGGAAGGGGTTTCTGAGGAGGACTGGGCTTCTCCAACTCCTGAAAAAGAACAGAAACAAACAAATAATACCAGAGACTCTCCACCAGGTGGCACTCACAGCTCAGGCCTGTTGAAGAGTCCTCCTCTCAACTCTCCATGAGAGGAAGAGTCATGTGGTTTTAATCTTCTCCTGAGGACTGAGATCATGATACAGGCCTGCTACCTTGCTCCCCATCTGTTCTCCATTCACTTCTTCCTCCTTGGTTGAAGAGAAACCTCCCCAAACATCACAGAGAAGAAAGAGCCAAACAACCGAACCTCAGACCTCACTCACCCGTGGAATGAGGTTTGCCAATTCAAAACACCATTCCTTTAAAGTTAAAATTAACTCTCTGTCTGTAATGAAGGATATGTATCTCCTTTTCATCCATAAGGCCACATCATGACAATCTGCTCTATTGAAGAACCGCTGCTAATTCATCTCATTGACAGGCCAGTACTCTCATGCAATGGGGACTCCATCCAAAAAAAGTAACAAATGCTGGTAAAGTGAAAATGCAGGCAAATAAAAAAAAAAAACACGTCTGATACGGTGATTGAAAGGCACAAGATGTTCATTCTCACAAACCCCAGTCTAAAAAGCTACATCAGGTGAAGCTCTCCCTTTGGACAATTCTTCCATGCCCCCAGCAGAGAGCTTTCACTCTGGGAGGAAAAAGAATAAGCTTTATCAATGTCATGGAGCTGCCAAACAGCTGCTAAAGATACTGTCGGGGATGTCTGCTGCCAACAGGCATCACTTTGAGTTTCATACTTTGACATTAAATAGGAGCCGCTGAGAGGAAAGATCTTCTTCCTGAAGTCAAAACAGTGCCAAGAGCTGTAGCACTTTACCTGTTATAAGGGTGCATGACAGCTACGAAGCTTTGTCTAATAAATGGAGTTCTTCAATGGTTCTTGAAGGTGTATATTTTATATACATTATTATGCACTTTTTGAAAACACCTTCACTAGAGCTGTAGCAGTAGTGTTTGATCATTAAGGAGGCCCTTTATGCTTTTGGGGGTTTTCCTGTAGTGTGTCATATAGGTTTTTGTGCATGTAAATGGTCTAC